CCCGAATACGTTTCCGTGGTCATGTGGCCGGCATGACTAAACACCAAGGCGCACGGAACGCTGTTACCTTCCCACCGAAGTGGTACCTACTTATCTACTTGCAATTTCTTGCTTTCAAGGTTGGCCGGAGCTGGAACTAGAGATGGGAGCTCACTCCATCATGCGGCACCCAGGTCTTGAACTGCTGAACTACTGACCTTCCACAGCCTGCAGTTCAGCATCTTAACCACTTGAGCCACCGCAGTTAGTACAGTACAATAATACCCCTGTATAAAACTATGGTGCGGCCTTCATTTGGAATACTGGGTACAGTTCTGGTCGCTGCACCTCAAAAAAAGTATTATAGCTTTGGAAAAGATGCAGAAAAGGGCAATTAAAAGGATTAAGGGGATGGAACAAATTCCCTATGAAGAAAGATTAAAGAGGTTAGGGCTCTCTAGCTTGGAGAAACAACAATTGAGGGGTGGCATGATAGAAGTTTACAAAATTATACATGGGATAGAGAAGGTAGAGGAAAAAAATACTTTTCTCCCTTTCTCACAATACAAGAACTCCTGGGCATCCGATAAAATTAATGAGCAGTAGGCTTCGAACAGGTAAAAGAAAGGACTTCTTCACCCAAAGGGTCATTATCATGTGGAACACTGCCACAGGAAGCGATGGCGGCTACCAGCACAGACAGTTTCAATAGGAGCAGAGGTGCATCAGTGGCTATTAGCCACAAGGTACAAATAAAACACTGTGTCTGGGGCAGTGGTGCTCTGTATTCTGAGTGCTTGGGGGGCAACAGTGGGAGGGCTTCTGGAGTTTTGGCCCCACTGGTGGGCCTCCTGATGGCACCTGGGTTCTGGCCACTGTGTGACACAGAGTGCTGAACTGGATGGGCCACTGGCCTGATCCAACATGGCTTCTCTTATGTTGTTCTTATGTTTTTAAATATATTTGCAATTTTGGTCTTAGAAAACTAAGGCAGCTATACTTCTAAATTTCATAAATATGCCACATGGTACAATTTATATTATAGATGATGCATTTTATGTTGCTACACCAGTAAAATAAGTCTAGGTATAAGTATTACATATATTTCAAATTTTCTGAAAATTCTAGTGCAGCAAAAAAAATTCACCACACACGTGCATTCTCCATGCGCCTCCCACTTTGTGAAACAAATGTACAAAACAGAAATGTTTGGGAGGACATTTTTCTAAAGGGATCAGAACTGCAGTATAATGGAAGAGTCCAGGAGGGTGCTTTTATAAGGGCATAGGATTATAGTCTACTACAATGTTTATTGTGTGAAACGCCTTGCTTTTACTGTACTTCCTTTGAAACCCAGCCTCTGCATTGTTTATGGCATGTTTTGCCTTAGTCCATTCTCTGTCTTTTATTGGTTCTTAATTTCTGTAATCCCAGTCCTACTGCGTTATTATTTGTCTTATGCTGTCTGATTGAATTATTGCTTATATTTTGGAACCTGCCTTCAGCCTCACTGAGAAAGGCAGGCTAATACTGTAGTAAGTAGAATAGAATAAAGTACTTCTGGGTTTTCAGCAAAGCATAGTTTGGCACTGGATGCTAAACTGTGGTTTGCACTTGCCCTGGGAACAACTCTAGCTTACAAAAGTGTAAACTCTATTTTGCCAGTTGGGATGCAACTGCAAGTTACAGCCTGCCCAGAAATAATAAAGTTACCTTGCCACATGTGATGGGGGGGAAGGCACTGCATGGTCCCAAGGATTTCCCAAGGTTCATTCATACAACCATTTGCTGTTCTGTCTGAACGAAGACCAAGCCAACTTAAAGGACATAAGAGAAGGGGGGGGGGGGTTCCCTGGGTTAGGGCTAGATGAGGCAGCACGCCTGATCCCTTACACAGACACGGCACTACTTTTGAGGTTCTCTGATCCAGCAGGCAGCACTGCAGAGCATTGTTCCCTCTAAGCTGAGTTAGTGTGAGCTAGCTCACAGCCTTTTAGCTTCTGGCCCACACATTTTTGTCTTAGCTCAGGAAGGAGGGCTCCAGAGCAAGCTAATGTATGCAGCAGTCAAATCGCTCGCTCACAACTTTTACACCAGTCGCTCACAGAGTAGAATTTTTGCTCACAAGGCTCCACAGCTTAGAGGGAACATTGCTGCAGAGGTAACACTAAAGGGTACACTCCTCACCCACGGGGTATGTGGTTATCCTAATGAATCTCAACAGCATGATAAAAAGTAGAGACATCACCCTGCCAACAAAAGTCCTCATGGTCCAAGCAATGGTATTCCCAGTAGTCATGTATGGCTGCGAGAGTTGGACTATAAGGAAGGCCGAGCGCCGAAGAATAGATTCTTTTGAACTATGGTGCTGGAGAAGACTCTTGAGAGTCCCTTGAACTGCAAGAAGATCAAATCAGTCAATCCTAAAAGAAATCAACCCTGGTTGTTCTCTGGAAGGCCAGAGACTGAAACTGAAGCTCAAATACTTTGGCCACCCAATGAGAAGGGAGCACTCACTGGGTAAGACCCTGATGCTGGGAAAGACTGAAGGTCAAAGAAGACGGGGACGGCAAAGGATGAGATGGTTAGACAGTGTCAGAGATGCAACGAACATGAAATTGAGCCAACGTCAGAGGACGGCGGAAGACAGGAGGGCCTGGCGGGAGCTGGTCCATGGGGTCGCGAAGAGTTGGACTCAACTGTGCGACTGAACAACAACAGCAACAAAATGAATCTCAGCCCTGACTTGGATGGCCCAGCCTAGCTTGATCTTGTCAGACCCTGAAACCTTAGCAGGGTCGGCCCTAGTCAGTATTTGGACGGGAGACCACCAAGGAATACTAAGGTTGCTATGCAGAGGAAGGCAAAGGCAAACCACCTCTGATTGTTTTTTGCCTTGCAAACCCTACGGGGTCACCTGTGATTTGACGGGGGACGACGACAAATCTAAAGGTCAGGTCCTAGACTGACCAGTCTGGGTTTCATCGGCATGATCCACGTGACTGGCAGGAATTAATGACAGAAACTATTCCTCAGTATGGGAACGGCAGCAGCTGTTGAACTGCTACCCTTCGTATAAGTGAGCAGATATAAGGCAGGGCCTTACGATTTCCCCAGCATCTGAAGAGGGTCTTCGCTATTGCTTGCAAAATGACGACAAGTTGTTTTCGTAGCAGCTTGCCGAGTCTTAGAGTGGCTTCAGCCACCCTAGGGCAGGGCTCCCAGCACATACACCACCACCCACACCACCTGCAACACCAAAAGCAAACACAGATATCTACTGTTAACAGCGGGCAAATTAAGATGTCTGTCTCTGACGCACCACAACAAAGGACGGTTCATGAAAAGTAGCAAAGTCAGGGCAGAGCCTGCCATTCTGCAGAGGGCGGCGAGCCAAGGGGGCCGGCTGTTGCCATTTCTGGATTATCGGGAACCCTGACTTAAATAAAATCTTAGCATTCTTAACTCCTCACTGGCAGGGCGGAAAGGAAAGTTTCCCAGCTCCTGTTGTGCCCAGTACAGTCTGAGAGGCTACAGCCGCTTTTCCCGTACTCCACAGAGGCTTCATTCTGTTTGAAGGTTGTTCCCGTCGTCACCAGGAACTTGCCCCAGCGCCTTGAGTCTCAAGAGTCTCCTAAGAACCAGGGAGAAAACATCTTCTGCTTTGGAACAGCTGGTGCCCAGAATACCACATGCGAGCTATCAAGTAACACAGGGCTTGTTTAGACCTGGATGCTCACACTCTGCGTTTGGGACACTAGCTGGTTCCAAACTTCACTGGCACAGCCGCAAGGACGGGGGAAGCTTCATATAAAGGTACTGCCCACCTAGGCTGTCTACCTCCAGTGGTCTACAGGCTTTGCAAAGCCCGCAACAGTAAAAGCTGGTTTGCTGACTCCTACGTCTTGTGTAGCTATTTTGGTCTGATATCTGATAGTGGCAGCGCCAGCCCCCTCCCCCCCAAATGCAGGGGTTATACTGCCTGATTTGTGGGAAAAGAACCTCTGTAGGGAGATCCTGGCAAACAGGGAGAGGATCTGTTTCCGATTCCAGGGAGGGCGCCTCTACGGGTGTGACAGAACAGGAAAACCACAATGCCTTTGATCAGAACAAGGCAGACACTGGAAAAGGTGGAGCACATGACACACACATAACACACGCTTAATGCGCCCCTAGTTCGGTGAGGATTCCAGCACATTAGAACCCCATCCTGGCCACAGACCCCGCCAGGGCAAGTTATTCACAAGGCAAACCCGATGAAAAGATTGTTATGGGACTTCGCTCAAGGCACCGGCTACTTTGCAGAGTTTACGAAGCAAAAGAGTCAGGCAATCCACACACACACACACCACCACCACCACCACAATTCACAATCTGGCTTCAGACAGTGGAGAAAGCAGCACGGAGGGAGGCGATGGATGCAAGAGAGTCTCCCGGGCGGAACGGGAATGCTGTTAGGGGCACTTGGCTGGCAGGCACACGACGGCTGTAGCGCAACACACGCTGACTGGAGAGCAGTGTTCCCTCTAAGCTGAGTTAGAGTGAGCCAGCTCACAGGTTTTTTTAGCCTCCAGCTCATACATTTTTGTCTCAGCTCAGGAAGGAGGGCTCCGGAGCAAACTAATTAATGCAGGAGCCAAATGGCTCACTCACAACTTTAATGCCAGGAGCTCACAAAGTAGAATTTTTGCTCAGGAGACTCCACAGCTTAAAGGGAACGTTGCTCGAGAGTCAGGCCCGATAAGGAAGCGCTCCCTACGCCCAGGATCGGGCTGCGCGGCAACAGGAGTTCCAAGGGAAGTCTCGGAGAAGGAAAGAGTTTTCTCTTAGGGGCTCCGCTCGGGCGCGCACCTGCCGGGGAAGGAGGGGGAGGGCTCGGCTACAGAGCACGCAGGCGCCGGGGGAAGGGGGGACGCCAGAGACCCTTCTTTGCGCAAAGGCGCTTCGCTTCGACCGACGTGCGCACGGCCGGGAAAGTGCCGGCACCGGGGCGGCTTCCCGGGGCGGCTACTACTACTTACAGCTGGTTGATGGCGTTCTGCGAGATGACGGCGTCGGCGGAGAAGTAGGGGATCATCTTGGGGCGGCGGCGGCGGCCGGCGGCGGCGTGGGGAGCGAGGGTCCGGCGGCCGCCCCCGCCTTCCTGCCTGCGGAGGAGCCCGCTCAGGGTCATGAGGGGCCGGCGGGGCCCGGGCGGAGAGCGCGCCGCATGGCCAAGGCGCCCGGGGCCAACGTGGACAGCGCCGGCCCAGCGGGAGCAACGGCACCAGCAGCTCCCCCGGCCGGCCGGCCGTGCCTTTGTGCGCAAGAGCGAGCGCGCCTCAACTCGCCCGGCCCAGCCAAGGGGGGGTCCTGCTCCGAGCCCCCCCCCCCGCGCCCGCCTTCCTCCGGCCACGAGAAGTCGCGAGGGCGGGGACCCGACTGGGCCCGCCCTCGGCAGCCAGCCGGCCGCCCTCCCGCGCCGCCCCCCCTGGCTCGCGCCTGTGCCGAGGTCCTTCGCAAACGCGCCGCTTCTCCGAGCAGCGGGGACTGGCGCTGGGGTTACCAACTCCAGCCCGGGAGATTCCTGGTGGTAGTGGGCCGGTGGCGCGGGAAACTTGGCCGGAGGTTTCACCTCGAGGCTCTGCCCTCTGAAGCGACTCCAAGGGAACTGCTCCCTGGAGTTTGGAGACCGGTTGTCATTCCAGATCGCCGGGCCCCACCTGGAGGGTGGCAACTCTTCGCACCCCCCAGGAGTTGCAGGGCAAGAAGCGCCGAGGGAGCCAAGGTGTTAGGCTCAGCACAGCCAAAAAGCTTCCTGTCTTCTATGCCCCCCCCTATTTAAAACAAGAACCTCGATGAACTGTGTGTGTGTGGGGGGGGGGGCAATGTTCCCTCTAAGCTGTGGAGTCTTGTGTGCAAAAATTCTACTTTGTGAGCTACTGGTATTAAAGTTGTGAGCAGGCGATTTGGCTACTGCATAAATTAGTTTGCTCTGGAGCCGTCCTTCCTGAGCTAAGACAAAAATGTGTGAGCAGGAGGCTAAAACACTGTGAGCTAGCTCACACTAACTCAGCTTAGAGGGAACACTGGTGGGGGGGTTGTTCTGTTCTATGCATCCTTAGTGGGGAGCAGTGTTCCCTCTAAGACGAGTTAGTGTGAGCTCGCTCACAGTTTTTTAGCCTCCGGCTCACACTTTGTTGTCATAGCTCAGGAAGGACGGCTCCAAGGCAAACTAATTTGCACAGTAGCCAAATGGCTTGCTCACGGTTGTAATGCCCGTAGCTCACAAAGTAGAATTTTTGCTCACGAGACTCCACAGCTTAGAGGGATCACTGGTGGGGAGTAGCTCTCCCTGCTTAACAGGTAAACCCTCCTCACTGGGTAATGGTTGCTTTTACAGAGGTTGCCTTTATGCTCTGCTTAAGCTCAGAGAGGCACCCCTCTCATGCATGCCTTCCCTTGTCGAGTAGCAACCTGGCTCTCACCGGCCGGTGCCAGGACTCCCTAGCCAGCACTAGGCATGCCACCTCAAAGACGCTGTCAACCTGTGAAAGAGCACAGTGTGATACCACAAGCCAGATCTGGGGCCAGATTTGAGGAGAGGTAATGCAGAAGGGACAACAAGAGGCAAAGGCCTTGGCCTCCATGCCCCATTTGCTGGGCTCTCCAGGGCAGCTGTTTGGCTGCTGTGTGAAGCCTGATGCTCTGCTAAGGGGGACCCTTGATCTTATCCAGGAGATCAGAAAGGCCCTGTTATCAAACTACTTGCATGTGACAACCAGAACAGCAAATGGGGGGGGGGCCCCCCGCACAGCATCAGCCAGCTATTTCGTGGCTGGGAATTTTTAAAGCGAGGACTGGTCGAAGCTGGAATCCACTTCCTCTTATTAAAGGCTGGGGGGGGCAGTTAATAGGGTAAAAGCAGAATCTCTTCCTGCAGTCCTCTCCGGTGTTCCCTCTAAGCTGAGTTCGTGTGAGCTAGCTCACAGTTTTTTAGCCTCCGGCTCACACGTTTTTGTCTTAACTCAGGAAGGATGGCTGAAGAGCAAACTAATTGGTGCAGCAGCCAAATTGCTCGCTCATAACTTTAATGCCAGTAGCTCACAAGGTAGAATTTTTGCTCACAAGACTCCATGGCTTAGAGGGAGCATTGGTCCTCTCCCTTCAAAAGCACCTCTTTTCTCTCTCCTTGGCAAGATTCAGTAGGTGGCCAGTCTTACGAGCAGAGCTGTACTGAGACAGCACTCCAAGTACTTCAGGATTTGTGCATACTAAGGAAACAATGGTCACCACCACAACAACACCAGATTGATTAGTGCAGAACATAAGGGATGCACACCTGGACTTCTGGGCAGCTTGTCTTCCTGGACGGCTACTGACTTCTCATTGCTCCTTAAGGGTGAAGGAGAAGTGGTCTTGTCCTTCTTCGCCAGTTTTGGCAGGGTTTCTCTGTCTACACCACTTCGAGGAAAAGTAGATTCGGGGTGGTTGTTTTTTCCCCAAAGGGTAGCTGCATTGGTCTACAGTAGAACAGCTAGAACCAAAGCCAATAGCAACCTTAGAGATCAAAGAGGCTTTTGGGGACATATCAGCTTTCAACAGTCAAAACTCCCTCGTCAGATACAAGTCAAAGGGAGGTTTCTGAGTCCTTATACCCCAGTCAGAAGGTGGGAGGGATGTTGCAAAGAAAGGATGCAAAGGCACAATGCACATAATAATTAGCTCGATTAGAGCAATGGGGAAATGCTTGGAGAGAGAAAATTAGCATCTGTAGTGAGGCAAAAATCCTGTGTCCCTATTCAGCCCCGGTTGGGAGGGCATTGTTCTGATTTTGTGAATGAACTCAAATTCAACAATCCCAGGTTGTAATCTCCCCTTGAAGCTTTTCCATTTGAGGACTGCCACACTCTTAGGTCGGCAACAGAATGACCTGGGAAAGTAAAATGTCCCCCCACTGTTTTTTGAGTGTTGTGGAGGGTTTTTATAAAGTTTGAGTCCAGTGGCACCTTTAAGACCACCAAAGTTTTATTTATGGTATAAGCTTTTGTGTGCAAGCGTACGTCCTCCGATACAGTGGAACAGTGGGTTTTTTATTTGTTGTTCAGTCGCACAGTCGAGTCTGACTTCGCGACCCCATGGACCAGCTCCCGCCAGGCCCTCCTGTCTTCCGCCGTCCTCTGAAGTTGGCTCAACTTCATGTTCGTTGCATCTATGACACTGTCTAACCATCTCATCCTTTGCCGTCCCCGTCTTCTTTGACCTTCGATCTTTCCCAGCATCAGGGTCTTCTTCAGTGAGTGCTCCCTTCTCATTGGGTGGCCAAAGTATTTGAGCTTCAGTTTCATTATCTGGCCTTCCAGGGAACAGTCAGGGTTGATTTCTTTTAGGATTGACTGATTTGATCTTCTTGCAGTCCAAGGGACTCTCAAGAGTCTTCTCCAGCACCATAGTTTAAAAGGCGCTCAGCCTTCCTTATAGTCCAACTCTTGCAGCCATACATGACTACTGGGAATACCATTGCATTGACCATGCGGACTTTCGTTGGCAGGGTGATGTCTCTACTTTCCTCCATCGCTTTCCGCCCAAGGAGCAGGCGTCTTTTAATTTCATGGCTGCTGTCACAGTCTGCGGTGATCTGGGATCCCAGGAACGTGAAGTCTGTCACTACTTCCACGTTTTTTATATCGGATTCAAATTCTTTTGTGTAGGGACTGACCTATTTATCCAATGTAGAGAGTGAAAGGGTGCTGCCAACATTCGATAGCATATTAGGTTGGAAGATGAACAAGTTTGGTCTGGGGACTATGCTGTCAGAGACAGAGTGAATATGGGAACAGATCTGGCATCTTGGTCTGTTGCAGGCCTTGGCCCCAGAGTCCCTGTCCATGTCAGGAAGTGTGAGAAATTGTTTAAGATTAGGAGGCTGGCTATGTGCAAGAAAAGGTTTGCCTCCCAACACCTGTGAAAGACAAATATCATTGTCCAGCATAGACTGTAAGTTGTTAATGACACGTTGAACCGGTTTGAGCCGAGAGCTTGTATGTGACCGCCAGTGGTATTCTGTTGTTGTTTTATTTGGGCCTATCTTGTAGGAGGATCTACAACATTTCTGGAATTACAGTACCCACCTGACGTAGTTAGGAAGCACACGAAGAAAACCAGAATGACACCAGCAGGGGATAGGTAAAAGCCCATTATCAACTTTAATGGCAGGGGGGACAAACATTGAAAGTGAAGGCTAGATGCATAATTTACCAGTGGGGCTGATTGTATTAAAATGCAGTGATGACTTCCAGCTCAGGTGGCTTTTTAAAAACTGGACAAATGCATGGAGGAAAAGGAGAAGGATCGAAGGCGTGAGATAGTTAAATGGGACAGCCATGATAAAGAACAGCGTCTTCTGCTGTGGGGAAGGGGAGAGCCAACAAGAGGAGGGTTACACCCTCCTTACAGGAGCCTGTGGGACAACTGGAGAAGGGTAGCTGTGTTAGTACATCATAGCAAAATAAAACAATCGCCCAGTGGCACTTTAAAGACTAACTATACCTCTTTCCACGTGAGTTTTTGAGAGTTACAAAGCCCACTTTTGTCAGACTAGTGGACAGTGTTCCCTCTAAGCTGAGTTAGTGTGAGCTAGCTCACAATTTCTTAGCCTCTGGCTCACACATTTTTCTCTTAGCTCAGGAAAGATGGCTCCAGAGCAAACTAATTTATGCAATAGCCAAATCGCTCGCTCACAACTTTAATGCCAGTGGCTCACAAAGTAGAATTTTTGCTCACCAAGGCTCCACAGCTTAGAGGGAACATTGCTAGTGGACTGTGACTCTCAAAAGCTCACAGGGAAATAAATGTTGTTAGTCATCAAGGTGCCATCGGACTACTGTTTTATCTGGGGCAATGCCCAGCTAGGTGACTTTGGCTTACTCCAGGCATGCCTCTTAATTGATTACAAAGTGAACACCAGATGTCTCCCCCCAACCCACAGACTTTTTTTTTTTAACAACCAGAAGAACAGCTTTGTGGCACAGTTGGGGGGGGAAGCACGGAGAGGCCGAAAGAATGCATGTGTTTGCTTTTAAACCAGGTTTTTAAAAATCGTGGCCTGAGGCAAAAAGGAAGCGTTCCAAGGACATGTCCGTTAAACAACACTAAAGCAGTTTGACAGCCTTTGGGGGAAAGCACTAACGCCACTGGCTTGTGATGGGCTAATGCTACAAGATACCCATTTCAAGGTAAAAAGGTAAAGGTTCCCTTGCTCGAAAGCCAGTCGAATCCGACGCTAGGGTTGCGGTGCTCATCTCCG